AACGGGGGACTGCTGGGTCTGTGGTGTCTCCTACCCGCTGCCTCATCCCCTGCCAATCACCAAACCCACGTCCTCTTGTGGCCAAAGGCCTAGAGCTGTACAGATCAGACTCTGGATCTACTCTCACCCCCTCGCACCCCTCCCGCCCCAGCTTCATGACGCCCCAAATTCCCCTTCTGTCCGGGTGTCATTGGTTGGCTGGATTTTGATGGGCAGCCTTTCCCCAGGCAACCACCCCTTGAACAAGGACTCTGGGAACCCAAAGCAATGAGTCTTGGGCAGTGTCCTGCCGCCCGTAAGTGGCAGGGGAGGGGCGAGCAGGGCAGGGCAGAATGAGACCTCAGTAAGACACTGAGCCAGCCTCGTTGAGAGAGGGATCTCACGCTGGGAGCATGGGAACCGCTTGGATTCTGTCCTTTCTTCTGGGGAGGAGCAAAGCGTCGTTCTGTCTGTCCGTGGCCTCTGCCCTCCAGTATTATAGGTGTGGAAAGTGACCACCAAGGTGCCAAGCCCAGAGGCAGAGCTGGTCCTAGGAATCGGGAGTCCCAGCCTGCCGGCCCCTGCTCTTCCAGGATCAACTCAAAAGGGGCGGGGAGCGGGCGGAGCGCTGCGCGCTTGTGGCGGGTGGAGGCCGCCAGCGCACCCGGGCCAGCTCTGCAGGGAGGGCGCAGAAGCCAGGGTCAGGGCCAGGACAAGGGGAGGGAGGCAAGCGAGAGCCGGCGGCGAAGAGTCCGGTGAAACGGGAATGACTCATGCTGGGAGGCTGTGCTCCCCTGTCCTTCCCACATTCCCGGGTCTCTGTTCTGGACCCGCCTGGGCCTGGCCTTAAAGGGCCAGCTCCTCTGAGCAGGAGCCGGGGCCACCCTACTGCGCTCCCCACTCCTCCATCATCTGACCCCTGTGGGGTTGCTCTCAGTCCCTGGGTTGTGGGCGACAAGGATGGCCCCCTGCAGGATTTAGGGCTTTGTCTGATTCAGTCCTCCCACTGTAAGGGAGCCCGCAGGCCATTTCCTCCATCCCCCTGCCCCTGAGCAGGGCTGCACCTAAACTGGCCACAAGGATTAGGAAATCTTTCCCTGCTTTTAAAGATGTCGCACTAAGGGGGCCCCTTTCCAGGCACCTTCGACCCTTTCCCTCCGCGGTCCCCTGGGCTGCAGGTTGTGCCGAAGGCCCCTCCCCTCTCCGTCTCCCCACCCCAAGCTGGCCCCATTTCAGCTTCGGTTGATTCCCGAACTCTGACTTGACACACGTGTTTGGTGGGTTTTAGGTCGGCCCATACAGACTTGTGGGCCAGGCTCCCGGTCCGGGCCTCGGATGGGTCCAGGTTTCACACAAATCCCGTCCTGCGCGTGGGTTCCTCGGGGTGGAAACGCCATGCGGCAGCTGCGGTGCCCGAGGCCCTTCTCTGGACCCTGCGCGCCACCGTGTGGACGCTCTGGAGAACTGGCGCCTGCGGGGATGCCCTGCAGAGATCCCGCCCAGCACCCGCAGTTCAAGGCAGTACTGAATCGGCTCTACATTTAGAGAGGAAAGGATGAGGGCACCCCCTAAGCGCACTGCGAGTCCCACATCGTCTGTGAAACGATAGCTCTAAATTACTAACAAAAGCCAAGCAGCTCTGTTAAAATTTACATAGCAATACTTTTCATTGAGGCTTGGGAAGACCTCCAAGTTCCCCAAGTATTCTCCCCTTCCACCCACTGCCACCTCTTCCCGCACTATTTGGTCAGTGCTCAAAACATACCACTGGAGGTCTGGGTTTAAGGTTCTGTCCACTGTTAACAAATTTTCAGGGAACGGAGTCTTTTTCCCTCGAAGCTAGACCAGTTCATCAGAGGTTGAACTGAAGCTGAGGATGGAAGGACAAAGTGCAAATCTTGCAGGAATGGGGGAGGGAGAAGAGGGGTGGCACTGCCTTGGGGCAGGGAGGCCAGGGGGCACAGCTGAGCCTGGACAGAAGCCCTTTGAATTTGGGGGTAGGAGGCGAGACTCTCTTGCCTAATGAGTGCTCCTGGAGTCCAACAAATAGTCACCAAATGGGCTATGACCACAGGCTGCTGCAGCCTTGGGGCTGACAGTGACCATGGGCCTTTGCGGGGTGTTGGCCCTGGGATCCCTGGCCCTAAGCAACCAGGCCAGCTGGCCCTAGACAAGCCAGCCTTGCTTAAACTGCATTTCCAAAGGCCCTGAAAGCTGTGTGGTATCCTAAGTCCACGAAGGTCCTCACTCACCCTTTGTCCCTACCTTCTCCAGCCCCACTGGCTGCCTCCAGCACAAGCAGAAACCCAGGTCTCAGCAACATCAAACACAAGCGAAGGCAGGGAAAGGTAGTGAGCACTCCATTCCTTCCGTGCCCACAGCCTTTTTCTTTCTTTCTCTGGGCCCCGGCTCCCAGCCTGATTTTGGTGGCTGTGAAAAGGAGTTTGCCAGCACCTGTTGTGAGCAGCCTGTGGCCCAATGGGACAGTGCTCACCAGGGATCCCGATGAGGGACAGCAGCCATGCCTTATTCGGCATTGGGGTCCTCACAGCTCCAACCACCTGGCACGTACATTCAATCTAGTGAATGAAAGCTACCTGCTGCTGTCCACTCGCATCTTCCACGGAAAGCGTTTAAATTGCTCTGTTGGCCAAAGTTACACTCCTGATTGCCCTCTGTGAATCCTGCCCTGACCAGAAGTTGAGGACACTCAGAATTTGATCATGAGCAATCCAGATGCAGGGAACTGTCCAGTGTAGAAAGCTGATGGCCTGCAGTGTGGTCAAAGTGGAAGAGCCACTTCTTTGAGTTCAATCCTCCAGTGATGGTCCACAGAGTCAGAGGCGGGCAATCTGCAGGGCACAGGCTGCCGGGGCCGATTCCATCTCAGAGCAGGCGCTGTTAGCGCCCATGACCCTGCACCTCTTGGCTGTGTCTGTGCATGTGCACCCTCCTGGCAAATGGAGCAAGGGGCCAGGAGCTTGGAAAGGAAGCGAGAAGAGCAGGGTGGAGACATGGGACTGAACTTTTAAGGCAAACTTTAGGAGAAGGACTGGGGAACAGAGGCCCCTTCTGCTGGCCTAGGAGAGGGTTGGTCCACTCTGTAGCCAGGCATGTGGATTAGAGCTGGGTCTCCAAAGACGGGTGCCCAAGACCATATTTTAGGATAAGAAAATTGAACTCCTACTTATATTGATGTTTATGTAATCCTTTCAAATGTTTCTACTTTTGCATGTTTTACTGTATATATTAGTCCAATAAAATATGTATAATTGATAATGGAAGAATGTACATATATTGAGGATGCATGGCCAAAACACTGCAATCTCCACCTCCTGGTTCAAGTGATTCTCCTGCCTCAGCCTCCTGAGTGGCTGGGATTACAGGTGTGTGCCACCATGACCAGCTAATTTTTTTGTATTTTTAGTAGAGACAGGATTTTGCCATGTTGGCCAGGCTGATCTCAAACTCCTGACCTCAAGTGATCTGCTTGCCTCGGCTTCTCAAAGTGCTGGCATTAGAGGCATGAGCCACAGCGCCCAGTCTCATTTCAGGGAATCTTAAGGGCACGTAGAAACCAAAGATTCAGATAGACAGGCTAATCACTTAGCCTGCATGTCAATCGACTGTCCTCTGTGTAAATCCCTGAGATACAGAGAAGTGAAGTGACTTGCTGTGGTTGCACGAAGTACAAGGAACATTCCAGACCCTCTGAGACCTGCCCATCCAATATCCACACCTCCATCCATCCATCCATCCATCCACCCATCCACCCCCAATCTCTCCATCCATCCATCCATCCATCCACCCATCCATGCATCCATCCACCCATCCATTCATCCATGAAGCTTTATTTTATACTTCAAAACAAAATCAAATGTAAATTATGTTTCAATAAATCCCAGCCAAAGAATTAAAAACAAACTGAGAGCGTTCAGCTAGTATGCATCACTGTGCATATCTATTCACGCATCCATCTGTCCCCACTCAGCAGGTACCTGTCCCGTCGTGGTGATCCGATGGGTCATCTTCCTTACCTCCAGGCTGTAGCATCTTTCAAAGTCCTCCCTTCCTTTGCTTTCTCACCTCACTTCACTTCAGTTCCTTTTCACTCTGATCCTAATTCCAGACTATCACTTTAAATGACTCCCCCTGCTTCTAGCCCTTCCTGGCCCAATCTAGTCCAAGCACCACTGCTAAGTCAATCTCCCAAGGACTCTTGAGTGACTGCGGATTGCCGTTGGCCATGGGGCCCAGACTGAATTTCTTGGCCCACCCCAGAGGTCCACAGCATATGCCCTGTATTGTGATTCTCTCTTTTGGAGTTAGTGGCTTCTTGAGAAGTGTTATACTTCAAAATCAGATCAGATGTAAATTATGCTTCAATAAATCCCAGCCACAAGTCATAGTTCAAATGAATGAAGAGTGTTTAGCTAGTATGCATTACTGTGTGCACACACTCATGCATATATGGATGTGTATCCTGCCAGCCAGCCTGACAGCGTGTGTGCCTGAACAGGGTGGAACTCCAGTGCTCCTGAGGGCTGGAAATGCAGCCATGTTCAGTTGCTGAGCTGTGCACCCTGCCTTGGGACCATGGCATTCTGGGAGAGGAGGAGGCTTTCTCTATTTCACCCAAGCCTCCAAGCTCCTTCTATTGTCTTCTCAGGTGTTTTCCTCTCAGAGGAAAATAAAACAGCCCAAAGCTGAGGATTGGCCCAGGTAAAATAGTGAATAGAACAAGGAAGGTGCATTTTACCAGCCTTTTCACTTTCTCCAGCTGCACAGGGGAGGGTGTGAGGGGCAACCCTCCAGGAAGTATCAACTGCAACAGAAAGAACGTCATTTCAGAGTGCAGAGGTCTGGACGGGTTTTCAGGGCATGAAACTGAGAAGGGTGTCGCTTGTCCTGAGCTTCCCGTCTGGTTTGGGAAGGGCTTTAAAACTTCTCTCTTCTCTCCCACCTCTCAACTGCTTCCCTTCCAGAGTCTCTCTTGCTAAGTCTGTGCTTTCTCCCTGCAGCCTGGGAGCTCCGACCCCAGGAGGAGCCAACCCATCAACCTGAACCACTACGCCACCAAGAAGAGTGTGGCAGAGAGCATGCTGGATGTGGCCCTGTTCATGTCCAACGCCATGCGGCTGAAGGCGGTGCTGGAGCAGGGGCCATCCTCTCACTACTATGCCACCCTGGTCACCCTCATCAGCCTCTCTCTGCTCCTGCAGGTGGTCATCGGCGTACTGCTCGTGGTTATTGGTGAGGAGCCCAGCCTGCAGTCAGGCCTTCTGCCTTGGCACCTGTGAGGGCAGAGGTGTTTCAGCTCAATGACGACCACCTCCCTTGATTTCTGCCGCTTGGGTCTCTGAAGGGCCCCTCCTTCCAAACTCTGGTTGGTGTTGTGGGGGTAGCTCCGGACTGTGGCCTCATCCTTGACCCTTTCCCCCGCTCCACTCCCCTGCAGCGCGGCTGAACCTGAATGAGGTAGAAAAGCAGTGGCAACTCAACCATCTCAACAACGCAGCCACCGCCTTGATCTTCCTCACTGTGGTCATCAACGTTTTCATTACAGCTTTCGGGGCACATAAGACAGGGTTCCTGGCTGCCAGGGCCTCAAGGAGTTCTCTCTGAATACCGCCTGGGATCCAGGTGAGGGAGGATAGGGAAACCCCAGCTCCAGGGGTTCCCCAGGTGGCCCTTCTCTCTCCTCTGGGGCTTTGGGGCAAGAGACAGATCCTGTAGCGCCAAGGGCGAGGAGGGGATCTGCAGGAGCCTGTCCTCAGTGAGGCCTGCACAAAGCCCCATTGCTGTGTTAATGGGTTGCTCTCGGTTCTTGGACTCAGGGTTTCCCGGGTGGAGGCGATGCTGTGGTTGACTCTGCCCCTTTGGCAAGAGGAAAGCTGGAGATGGGGAATTTATCCCTGGCATTATCTAGCAGCCCTTACTACTCAGACTGTGGTTCTAGGGCCAGCAGCATCCACAGACCACTCGGGAGCTTGCTGGAAATGCCGAATCTCAGGCTTCTGCTCCAGACGGGCTGGGGGCACATGCATGAGCAAGGTGGCCAGGTGCATCCTGGGCACGCTGAGGGTTGAGGGGCACTGCTCTGGCCTGCCCTCCTCATTGCCTCTTCTCTGCTTCCCGACAGGTACTGGGCCTGGAACTCCTGCCTCCTTCCTGCCTGATCTGCCGGGCTCATGGGCACTTTCCACAGCCCAGAAGAGCTGTCTGTCTAAGGCGGGTCTGTCTAAGGCCAAGTCTGCCCAGCTCAAGGACTCTGGTCCTGACTCTACCCTACTGCTTCCTTCTGCTCCAGGCCTGTTTTCCTTCCTGTAAAATGGAATCTATATCTATAAAGGTTTCTTCAAATCCACTCTGGAGTCCACTTATTTGTCTAGTCCGAAAGGCTCAGGCATCTAGGCTGGTCTCCAGCTGTGCCTAGCAGAGGGCTCAAGGGTGGGCAGGCTTTTAAATCACTCCCTCTTCTATGGCTTCTGCTTGAAGCCAACGTTCCTGGCCCAGATGCCTTGAGCTTATTGTCATCTGCCCCATCAACTGTAGACTAGTCCATTGCAGATGGATGCACATATGCTCAATCTTCTCCATGAACCTGCTGTAAGCTCTTCTAGCTTTCGCAGTCTCTGCTTCCCTTAGGCATGTGTTTAAGGACTGCAAACTCATTTTGGTCTTTGCGTGGGCCAAAATAGAACGAGCAAGGTAAATCTGCACCTGTAAGGCATTAGCAAAGCGTTGCCAGCTCAAACAGAAATGATTTTTAGACGGTCTGCCAGGTTAGAAGTAGCCACTCCTTGGCTTCTCTCCACTGCTCGCCAAACCATTCTGGCCCTATATCTAGCCTTCCCCCTGGCCCTATATCTAGCCTTCCCCCCAGGGTACCGATAGCCTTTCTCGGCTAAAACCATCAGCCTCCATTAATCTGCCGAACAGAAAATGCCTAGTCTATTACACGGTGAACTGCTCAAACGAACAATGCTGTCTTCTTCCTGGTAAACCACAATGCAGAGAAGGCCATTCTACACACAGCAGACATCACACTCTTGGGAAAGGCAGAGTGTGGTGTGGGAGGGTCCTTGGCATGCCCGCCTGGACCATTCAGCCCAAACCTCTATGTCCATCAAGAGCAGCAGGAAAAGACAAACACCTTTTTCTTTTCTAGGAAGTTGCTGTATTTAATGCTTCCCCTCCCACCATCCCACACCCTTCCCACCCAAGACATTTCCCTAGGGAGTAGGGGCCATGCCCGGCCCTTCCCCTTAAGGCAGATGGTATGGAGGTAACAAACATCGAAGTCAAGGCACTGGCCCAGGGCGCAGGGGTGGTGGGCAGGGCAAGAGGCTGGGCTGGCTCCTAGTCGTTGTAAGTGAAGCAGGCGGGCAGTTTGGGCTGGTTCCATCCTTCTAGTGCAATGCCCAAAGATGAGAGTGGTCCCAGAAAGAAACTGGCAACCCCACTGGCCAACTGCAGCCCTAGCCTAGGCCCGTGACCCTTCTCCAGGGGACAGTAGGCCTCAGCAGGGACCAGAAGCCACAGCTCAGGGAGCAGGTTTGGCTATCCTAAGCCACAGCATGTTAACTCAAAAGTCTTTGTCCTTCATAATTCCTTAGAGGAAGGTAGGGATTCTCCCCAGACCCCAGAAGTTTCTCCATGAACTCTACTCTCCTGTGTGCCAAGCTCATGCTCTTGGGGAATGCAGAGCCCGCCAGGCAGACCCTGCATCTCCAGTGCTGTGATTTGGCCCGTCACAGCCTGGAGCGTGGGCTCAGTGGCCTGCTCTTCTGGGTCCCCCCACACCTGTCCCACACCCTGTGAGACTCTGGAGTTCAAGATGCAGTGTCCAAATGCACCATGGGTGAATTCACAGCAGCAGCGGAGGCAGCAGCAGCAATAGAAAAACCCCCAGCCACAAAAGCACTGGGGGTTATTAGTGCAAGAAAAGTACAAGGTCACCAGGTGACAGAAAGGGTGGCGTAGACTAAAAAGGCCAAGGACTATTTTCCCTGAAATTGCTCCACTCTTCAGTTCCTCCTGCTCCCACCCCTCTCCATGCTTCCAGGGGATTTCTCAGGGGAATGTTCTCACCTTCCCCAAACCTCTCATCCTGCCCCCTTCTTATTCTGCTCCCTGGTCCCTGCTCCAGGGTTTCACTCCCATACACAACTTCCTCTTCTTCCACACAAGGCGAGGCGGCCAGGGCTCTCCCTGTAGAAGGGCAGGTCTGCCAGGGAGCTGGATGCAAGGCTCACAGCTTCCACTTTCTTTTCATCTCTTTCTGCCCAGCCCCCAGCCCTCTCTCGTCTAAGGAAATTGACAGATATGGCCACATCCTGTTTCCCTCTTCATGTGTTCTCCAGAGGCCTACCCACAGGCATGCCAGGAAGGGGACAGGCTTCTCTCCCCCACCTTCATCACCTTGCCTGTTCTGCAGGCAGGCCTGAGTGTCCAGTGACGGGGAGTGGCAAGCCCACCACCCAGCTCCTCAGCTCCCAATGCCCAAGCCCCAGGAACAGCCCCTTCTGTGCTTCTGGTCTGAAGTGAGCATCTGGAGGAGAAGGTTAATGCCCTAATTGGTGGCCTGCCGTTTGGTGGCTACTGGGAGATGTGTCTCTGGAAGGCACGAGCCTGGGGTGGAGCAGGGAACTGCCCCACATGGGATCATCCCCGAGGCAAGGGACAATGCCCAAGGACATAGGAGTGGGCGGGAGGTCTGCATGTGGGGACAGTCCCTCAATGCACAACCTTACCGCCCTCTGGACAGCAGTTTTGGTTTTCTGTTTTAAAAATCTCCACCCCCACCAATAAAATAGGTCCACTAGAAGAGTGTCTAGTTGGTGGTCAGCACTTGGCCTGAGGAGCGCCTGGTGGTGTGGGCATGCACCTTCACGGATGAGGATGATGTCAGCCATTCTCTCCTTCCTGATTCGTCCTTCTCAGGAGCTGTCCCCGTTCTTCACTGAACAAGTGGCCCCTCCTGGCCTCTCTCTCAAAGTCCTCCCTTCTGAAGGCCCAGGGAATAGAGGGAGGAGCCCTGGCACCTGCCTCTGTGAGGGGATGGCTCCAGATGAAGTCAGCTTCAAGGCCTCCTGGGGACCGCTCCCCATCCCCGAACAGCAGCTGGGCCCTGAGGATCTGCTGCTAGTCAAGGAGCAGGGAGTGCTGGGTCCAGCGAACACCCTGCAGCTACAGCATCTTCATCTGGCGGCGGTTCCACATGCCTCGCTTGGAATGGAAGTGATGGAAGAAATTCCTGAGGGAGAGACGCTCCACTTCCAGACCCGCTTGGAGGATCCTGAAGGAGGAGGAGCTGGATGAGCCAACAGAAACAGGAGGCAGCTGGGGAGCCCCTCTGCATCTCCACAGACCCTCCGCTTGCTCCCCACAGGGCAGGGAAGTCGGGTGGAGTGGAAGGGTGTGGGCTTTGAAGCTGGGCAGCCTGCCTTTGGATCCCAGCTCCATGACTGGGTGTCATGCCTTCTTTCAGAGCCCGTCTGATGATGATCACATATGTGTAATGAGGATAACGTATGATACAGAAGTCTATCTGTCGTTAGAGTAGACATCCTACATACGCATCAGAGGTGGTGAAGACCGAGAAGGATGGAGGCTGAGGAATCAGCACAGCTCCCGGCATACTCTGCATGCCCCATAACTGGCGCCCAGCCTCCAGGGGACAGGTCACAGATGGAGGGAGGCAGGGCTACACTGAGACACCCGGAGCCCAGGCCCTCCCCCTGCCTTTTCTGCATGCACAGCCTGCAGGGTGTTCCTCTCCAGGGAAGCCTGCACTTCTGGCAGGGCCAAGAGTAGCTGACCTGGATCCCTGAGCTGCTGAGGAGGCAGGAGGTTCGGGGCAGTACGGGAGCCATACACTGCCGCAAAAGCCCCGCACGAAGATCAAGGTGGAGGTGACTGCTGGGCTCCCAAATCAAGGCTTCCAGCTGCCTCGGGGGCTTCTTCCATCTAAGACCCTTTTCTGAGATCCCAGTTATCTAAGCTCCCTTAACGTCACCCTTTTCACTTCAGATTATCTGAGTGTATCACCCTCCTTTTCTTTCTTCCCTCAATGAGAAAAAACATCGATAGACCTAGTTTTTGAGCCTCTGATGCTTCAGTGAGTGAGATTTGGGGCAAGTTATAACTTCTCTTCAAGACTCAGTCTTCTCCTCTGGAAAACGGAGATCATGACGCTTACCCCACTGAGGTCAGGGAGGAACCAACAGGGTGACGGATACGGACCACCTGCCAGGCGCAGGCCCCAGTAACCGGTGGATGCACCTTGTCCTGCCTCTCGGGAAGAAGTGAATGCCTTCACGTCCAGGTCCCCGCCGCCAGTGCTCCTGACCTTGCCCTGTCCACCTCTTGTGAACGCTGTTCCAGCACTTATATACCCTCCCTTGTGAAGGGCACCCTCCCCTCTCCTTTGCTCCTTCCCCACAGGCTCAGATCTCAAGCTGGCGTTCTCCCCCCACCCTTCTCTTGGCAGCACACTTCTTGAAAGAGGAACCTCATGCAGAACAGCCTCCGCCTCCTCACCACCCACGTGCCGTGCTGCCCCACGGCCTGGTGTCCCCACCCAACCTTGCTCTCTGCGTCCACCTGCCACGGCCGCAGCTCGTCCTGTGTTCTCCTCTGAGGCTTTCATCTCGTTGACCCTTTCCTCCTGCTCCAGACCCCCGGGTCCCTTGGTGTCTCAGGACCCAGAACCTCCTGGGTATCTTCCTGCCCTTTAGTGGTCCACATTGTCTCCTGTGCTGGCCCCAAAGTCTTAATCTTGACCTTTGCCAGGTCTCCTCATCCATTCCCACAACTCAGTTCCCCGTTCAGAGCTGAGGGAGGCGTGCTCCCCTCCGGCTGGGGAGGATGCAGTCTCTCCTGCAGTGCTCTGCTGGGTGCTGAGAACATTACGGTTTACGTCTACACACTCGTGCACCTGGGACACTGGTGTTAATTTTCACACCAGCCCTGTGACACAGACAGAAGCCGAATCACACCCCTCTAATAGAGAAACTGAGTCCCGGCGTGGCCAGTGCTTTCAGGGCATCCTCTGAGTCCAGTGCTCCTCACCGCACACCGGGATTCTGCAGCTGGGAACAGCTAGCCTGCTGTAGCCCGGCTCCCTGCCCAGAGCGCATGAAGGGATGGAATTCCCAGGCCCCGGGGACGCCCCCCTCTTCCCAGTCACCTGTCCAGCAGCTCCCAGTCTTCCCCTCCCCAGCGGTCTCGGAACTCCTTGGTGTTCATGCCCCCAACCCTGTCCATGTCAGACTTGTAGATGCCGAGCAGCCCAAATCCATTCACCTCCCAGTAGCCTGTGGACAGACAGGAGCTTCGGGTGAGACGAGCCAGGGGCCAGGAGGAGGAAGGAAGGAGGAGCCTCTTCTGACAATCAGAGGTTGGGGGTGAGGGAGGCTGAAAACTGTCTTAGCTGAACAAGTCCTTTGCCTGCTTTGGAGGAAAGCCCCCTACTAAGGTTCAGGGCTCCGCAGTGCTACCAGGCAGTGCCCATGGGCTGACAACAGCCCTCCAAATGGATCGAACAATGGCAGCCACTGAAGACACAGCCGTGTGTCAGGGTATGTGTCCATTTCCCTTCCCACAGGCGGGGAGCCCACCTTTCCATCTTTGGAGCCCCCAGGACATAGCATCTGGCACACAGCGGTGCTTAGCAAGTGTGTGATGAATGAATGAAGGAGAAGATGGGCAGGAGATGTGCACTGCTGCACCTGCGGCTGTGGCTGTCAGCTTGGCCCAAGGGGACCTTCTCTGGTGGGTTTTCCCGGGGAGCAAAGGCCCCAGGAAGGCAGGGTGGGGCAGGGAGGAGGATGCTGATGTTCATAGACATGACTGTCCCCGGCTCTGGAGTTAAGAGCCAAGATCAGAGAAGTCTTTCCTCCCTCCGCAGTCTGAGCAGGACTCACCCTCAGGCCACTGGGGGGTGGCCCCACAATGCAACCTCATCACCATGGGGGCAAAGGCCATCTTTCCCTCCACACAGTGCTTCCGAATGGCATCGATGACTCCAGCTGGGAAGTGGATGTGGAGGTCACAGAGGAAGATGATGCTGTGGGGGTCCTGGGGACAGATGTGGCCAGGGTCAGCAGACCCTGCAGACCAGAGCTGGGAGGTCAGGCCACCCTCTAGGAGAAGCCTTGGAGTCTTCCCCATCGAAGTGATCACAAATTCCCACAAAACCAACTGCCGGGCAGAGTTCCACAGCACTGAGCATGGTTCTTAACCATCACAGTGGATTCCGACTCCTCCCCACTCTTCATGGGCTCAAAGGACCCTGGACAACTGGGCGAATGTTCCCCTGTGATTTGCTAGTCTCACCCTAGCACTGGCCTGCAGCACAGCAGAGAGGACCTCCTGTGTTCTCATTCCCGTCCTCCCCGAGGGACTCACTATCTCATACACCCCAAATGTCTTTCTACCTCTTAACCAGCCTTGAATTCCATCTTGCAAGCCCTGTCCAGGCCCTTTACCTTCACGAGGTCTATGCCAGCCTGAAGTCCAGCTGAGCGCTCAAAGTTTCCACTTAGCTTCACGTATTGGTAGCTGCAGGAAAGGGAGAGAGAACTGCATAGCAGGACGCAGCTGTGGTGGTCCCTGGAGGAAGCTGGCAGCACAGAGGTGATGTATGCTCCTGGGATGGGATTATGGGCAGGTGAGCCCTCTGGGAAAAGCTGGAGACTGGGAATCAGGACGGCTGGGCAGGACTTCTGGCCGTACCCGGGAAGCAGCAGCCCTAGGACTTCAGGATGGACGCAGCCCACACCACCCACTGGCTGGGGGTCCCCCTCACCTCCGCAGCTTGGACCTCTTTAGCGCCATCTCAACATCCATGTCCTCACTGCTATAGTCAGTGACGATGACGTTGAAGTGTGGGTCGCCGGTGACCGGGAACAGGTTTTCCATGTCTTTGATGAACTGCTGTACCCAGCGTGCCTGGTTCTTTACTACCCCAGGAGGCCAGGCAGGAAAAAGAAAAGGCAAAGATGAGCATCTCCACTCTCAGTTCCCACGAGTCAGGAGTGCCCATCAGACCTCTGCTGAGCGAACAGTGCCACTCTGCAAAACCAGTAGCAATGCAGCACAGAGACAGAAAGGCAAAGGGAGTACTCACCAGTTAAGGGGACCTCTGCATCCTGCTCCCCGTGTACCCTCCTCCCAGGCAGGGGCCCCCGAGAAGGCCTTGGCTGGGGCTCATCATCAGTAGCCCTGCCATGCTCTAACAGTGAAACTCTGCTCTCTGTCCATCTCAGTATCATCGTCCTGTCCCCATCGCTAGACGCCTGCCTATTCCTCCTTCTTGCATAAAACCCTGCTAATCACTTCATCTTCCTTCCCCAGGACAATGACCACCCCAGTACTAGCAACCCCAGTTATCACACCCAACCATGAAACCTGGTATGAAAGAAAGCGCACTAGCCTATGAGGCAGTTTGTTTTTAGTTCCAACATTTACAGCCACATAACCTTAAACTGGTGCCTTTCCTTTCCTGAGCCTCGGTTTCCTCAACTATAAGGTGGTCTTTCTCAGAAGTTCTTACGGGATTGAATCAGGGAAAGCAGATGTGGGTGCTCGTGACAGTGTTAGGACCCCTCCCGAGAACGCCCAGGCTCGGCTTGAGGCTCACCAGGCACAATGAAGTGGACCACGGCCTGGTGGTTCCAAGAGAAACCCTGGGGCCAGCACAGCTTGGGCTCTCGGGCCCGGCTATTCAGGACTTGTCTCCGACGGCTGTGTGGGTCCCAGACCAGGCCTTGTAGGTTCCGGGCCTCAGCCTCCTCTCTGCCAGCTGGATCGATGCCCTGCCAGCCTCGCGTAGACACAAACTCCGAGAGCCGTACCACGCGCTGGCCTTGTTCCAACAGTTCAAGCTCCAAGAGGTAGCGACCCCCACGTAGCTGGTCCTGTCGCTTCTCCACATTCACAATGCGCTGTAGCTGGTACCTCCTATGGCAGAAAGTGTGGGGAGGTTGAGTGATTCCTGCCCGCACTGCAAGGGTAGAATGGTGTGTTAGAAGCCTGCAAGGCTGGTCGTCAGGAGACCCTAGCTTTTTGTTTTTGCTTTTGTCCCAGCTTTGCCACTGGCTGGCTGTAGGGCTTCAGGCAAGATGTGCAATCTCTCTAGGGTTCACTGCCTCCATCTTTGGAGGATGTGGCTCAGGCCTGTAATCCCAGCACTTTGGGAGGCCAAGGTGGGTGGATCACCTGAGATCAGAAGTTCAAGATCAGACTGATCAACATGATGAAACCCCATCTCTACTAAAAATACAAAAAATTAGCCAGGCGTGGTGACTGGCGCCTGTAATCCCAGCTACTCAGGAGGCTGAGGCAGGAGAATCACTTGAACCCGGGAGGCGGAGGTCACACTGAGCCAAGATCGCACCACTGCACTCCAGCCTGGGTGACAAAGGCAAAACTCCATCTCAAAAAAAAAAAAAAGGTACCCATTGAGCTGTGATAATCTTGAAGGTCTTGTACAGCTCTAAGGTTCTAAGCACGTAAGGTGAATAAAGGGGTCATGCTGAAGAGTTTCCTTGAGAAACTGACCCTCAATAAAAATGTTGGAATCAACATTCCATAAGACAAAATGAGCTACAAGAGAAATGTCAGTTGGTTGACTCAAAATCACGAGTCACTAGATAAAATAATACCATTTCACACTCATCGGGATAGCTGTTGAAAACAAAACAAAACGAAATGAACAATAGCAGGTGTTGATAAGGAGGTAGAAAAACCGAAATCTTCGCACACTGCTGATGGGAATGCGAAATGATGCAGCTGATTCGAAATCAGAGCGGCAGCTCCTTGACGTGCTGATCACAGTCACCATATGACCCAGAAATTCCACCCCTGGATCTCTACCCAAGAGCCGATAATTGAGTAGAGATCCACGGGTGGAATTTCTGGGTCATATGGTGACTGTGATCGTGTGAGCCGAAAAGCCTGTACACGAATGTTCATCGTGGTGTTATATTTGTGATAGGTCGGGCGTGGTGGCTCAAGCCTGTAATCCCAGCACTTTGGGAGGCCGAGGCGGGTGGATCACGAGGTCAAGAGATCGAGACCATCCTGGTCAACATGGTGAAACCCCGTCTCTACTAAAAAACAAAAAATTAGCTGGGCATGGTGGCGCGTGCCTGTAATCCCAGCTACTCAGGAGGCTGAGGCAGGAGAATTGCCTGAACCCAGGAGGCGGAGGTTGCGGTGAGCTGAGATCACGCCATTGCACTCCAGCCTGAGTAACAAGAGCAAAACTCCATCTAAAAAAAAAAAAAAAAGTAGAAACAGCCCAAATGTCCAGCAACTGATGAATGGACGCACAAAACTTGGTGTGTGTCCACACAACTCAGCAATACAGAGGAATGAAGCATTTAACTCATTCTACAACATGAATGAAACTCTCGCCAGGTGAACACTCTGCTAAGTGCAAAAAGCCAGATACAAAGGCCACATATTATATGGTTCTCTTGGTATAAAATGTCTCCAGAACAGCAAAATCCATACAGCTAGAAAGTGAAAGCAGTTATTGCCAGGGACTGGGGGTGGGAGGTGAAACGGGAAGTAACCACTAACACATATGGGTTTTTTTTTTTTGAGACAGAGTCTCACTCTGTCGCCCAGGCTGGAGCGCAATGGCGCGATCTTGGCTCATTGCAACCTCTGCCACCCAGGTTCAAGTGACTTTCCTGCCTCAGCCTCCTGAGTATCTGGGAATACAGCTGTGTGCTGTCAAGCCCAGCTAATTTTTATATTTTTAGTAGAGACAGAGTTTCACTATGTTGACCAGGCTGGTCTCCTACGCCTGACCTCAAGTGATCCGCCCACCTTGGTCTTCCAAAGTGCTGGGATTACAGGTGTGAGCCACTGCACCTGGCCAGTATAATTTCTTCTAAAGGTGATTAAAATGTTCTGGAATTTGACAATGCAGATGATTGCACAACACTATAAATGTACTTTTAAAACTACTGAAAGGTAAACACTAAAATGGTGATTTTAATGTTATATAACTTTTATCTTAAAAAATGTGGATTGGTTGGACGAATGAATGAAGAAACAACTCCAGTCATGCCTCATGCCCTAGCCCTTCCAGCCCACATGCGGGGTCTTAATTTGTATTTGCCTGTTTGTCTATTTACTAGCTTTTTCCCTGGAGGAGGGGACCTCATCTGCCAAGCCTGTCCAGTCTTCAACACATGTCCTGGGCCAGGCACCCAGGGATTTCAGAACCTTGTCTAAGGTGGGACAAAGACCTGACTGGTCCAGATCCTCTCCAGGGGCAGGGGCCCCAGGCACCTGTCCTTCCCAGGAGCCTGAGTTGGGGGTAAAGTTCCAGCTATTTCTGCAGCAGGGAGAACCCGCTACCAGCCCCTAGGCCCCTGCCTTCCAGGCCAGCTGGCTGCCATGTGCCCCAGTCCCTGGCCCCAGGAGAGCCCTTTACCTTACCCCCGACTCCTCTGGTTGAGCTTCTTCAAGAAGACCCGCGTGACCTCAAGAGCTTCCTGCTCTGGAAGCAGCAGGTTGCCAGATGTGTTACAGTTCAGATCGATCCAGTCAGTTCTCAGGGCTTGGAAATCAAGATTCCGGGCACTGAAGGTCTGGTCCCAGTTTACAACCGGATCAAATGCAGGTCCGTACTCGAACACCTCACTCATATCCTCTTCCTCTTCCTCTTCTCCTCCCTCTTCCTCTCCCTCCACTTGTCCTTCCTGGCCTACAGCTGCCACCACTTCCTCATCCCCATGCCAGCCCCTCCTGGGTGCCTGAGGCTGCATCCTGTCAGCCCATCTCTGCTCTGCAATGTACGACTCCACCTGGTTCAGCCACTGCGACTGCTCTAGAGTCTTCTTGGGGCTGTCATTAGTAGGCTTGAGCTGGAGCCTGGGTCTGGGCCCCCGAATCTGAGGCAAGTTCTTCCCAGGGGGCCACTTGTCAGAATGAGGTGAATCTTGGCTGGGCTCAGGGTTGAGTTTTTGCTTCCTCTTCTCTGGCTGCGGCACTGGAATGCTGCCGGTGCCCCCTGGGAAGGGCGTTGTGGAGTTCTGCTTGGAGAAGGGGGCCCGCAGGCCCTCGCGAGGCTGAGCCAGGAGTTTCCGCAGGCTTCGGAGGCGGTAGTCGGTGACATCTTGTTCCGGAGTGGAGGCAGGTGTCTGTTTTCCCTCCAGCATCCTGGCATTCTGGTCATTGGAGGCTGGGGTCTCCTCTGCCACATCTCCATATTGGGGCTCTTCTAGAAGGCTTTCCTTAAAACCTACTGTTAATAACAACCATTTCTCATGTCAGGAGTTTCTAACACGTTCCAAACAAGACATACAAGACAGAGGGTGATCATATGTGTGAAGCACCATGGGACTCCTGACTGGGGTTGAATCCAGGCTCTAGCGCTTATTGTGTGACCCTGGGCAAGGTACTAACCCTCGGTTGACTCTGGTTTCTTCATCTGCAAAAAGGGTATAATCCTGCATCTCCCATGGGGTTGTGAAGATGAGTGAGATCAATGGCATCAAGTGCCTGGCAGGTGCACAGCACCTGAGGGACCCAGCAGATGGCCCCAGCCATGCCCTAATGCCCCAGGAAAGGCCTCTATACTTGTCTATACTAGAACCTCCCAAATGGTGCGCCAGGGACAGTGACCCCTCCAACAGTCCAAGTAACCTCCCCCAGGCTCTCACTCTCCAGCTGACCCCAGCATGTTGCTAAAAGTAGTGTCACTTTCCACATGTGCCTGGATATGGAAAAGGCAGGAGTCATGCTCTCCACTCCCTTGGGTATCAGGGGAGAGGTCATGTGATTTGGATTCTGAGCTCCTCAGGGGTGGCGCTGGCATGGTCTGAATTTCCGCTGGAAACAGACCATGGTCGCCCCCTCAGTCTGACCTGGAAGCCTCAGCTGTCACTCTGTACCTGGCAACTCCGGTCCCTGCTTCTCAGGCTGGTCAATCTTGATGTACTCTTGAAAGCTGAACCTGCAGGAGGAAGGGAGGTGTGCACTGGCACCCCATGCTGGAAGTCTCAGCAGGAGTCTGACATTTTGCCCCAGACTGGAGTGGAGGAAGGAGGCTGGGTGAGCGGGTGTGTGTGTGGGGGGCGGGGGTACTCAGGAAGAGCAAAGACTCTTTGGGCTGGGAGGCCACCATGTCCACTCTGGTCCAGGCAGCTCTCCTGGCTCCTGCAGAGCCCTCCTGCAAGGCCACCTCTTGCCCCACTCAGTGTCACTCACCTGTCTTGGTAGTAGGCATTTTCCTGGTAGAAGCACTTATTGTGGGTCTCCATGTGGCTCAGGCGGGTATAGTCATTGGGGTAAACAAAAGACAGATGAACCTGGAAGTAAAAAAGTCAGCAGCAGGAGTAAGAAAGTGAGATCTTGCTAAGAAATCACCCCGCCAGGGTTAAGCCTGCCTCTGGCTGGGATCATGTAGGGCTGCAGGGACCCGCCTTTGACAGGGAGAGAAGGGCTGCTTTGAGCGCTGAATGAGACATTTGGTTATGCAGTGGGGGGTTTCATCCCATATGTTATGCCAACTCACCTGGGCTCCATGGACCACATGCAACCCCTGAGTCAAGCCCCTGGCTCACATCTCCTTCTGAACCAGCTCCCATCCCTTAGCTTCAGCCAAAACCATTCCTTCCACCTTCTGCCGCCTGATCCTCTACTGAAGCCTCTGAACCTTTGCCTGCAACCTCCCACAGCTCTAGAATAACCCATCTTCTTATTTACTTCCCTGCTTCTTCTGTCCCCCTTAAACATAGCTCGTGGTCACAACCACCAAAGAACTTCTCAATTACACCCCAGCCATTCTCTGACCTGGCGATGCCTCCTGACCTCTTTCCTCTGGCCTCCAGCTCTTCCTTGTAATCATCTCTAGATCTGGACGGACAGGAGAGTGGCAACTCTCCTGCTGCTCCTGCAGCCTCAACCTCCTGGGCTCAAGTGATCCTCCCGTCTGACTTCCACATGGGTTCCGGGTTCTTTAAAGCTAACTTCCCCTCCAGAGGTCTTTCTCGCCCAGTGCTTGGTCTCTGGGTTGCATGAGTCCTGCTGGCTGACTAGCTGGCGGGGCTGACCAGGCCGGGTAGGATTGTGTGGCCCTTGGAGCAGGGAGCGTAGGAAGCCTCAGCCAGACCCCCTGACATCATCATGGGGGCAGAGTTGGTGTGTGTAGGGGGTCCTGAGGCAGAGCACCCAGATGCAGGCTCTGCTGGACAGTTCACTCAGGGCAGTCCATTTGGGAGTGCAAGTTCTTCCCAGCCCAGGGACCTGTGAGGCCTTCCTGTCTGCTGGGATGGGATGTCAGAGAGATGGGTAGGTCAGCCTCACCACCTCCCATCCCAGTCATAGGCAGCAATCTCTCCCCCAGTCCTGTTGCCCACCACCCAGGCCCAAGACTTACAAACCGGAGTCCCTGGTAGCGCTGCAGAGGGAGCCCGTCCAACAGGTAGCTGGGTTTGTAGGGACAGTCAGGCAGAACATGGCGGAGACGTGACTTGGGGATCAGAGGCACTAAGGACAGCAGAAGGAATGACGGTGAGGGTGGCCCTGAAACTGGGGCTCAAATCTTCTGCCCTGAATAGGGCCCTTTCTGTATTTGCGAGTGGCAGCTGTGGCCTGATGATATCTGTGGCTGACGCTGCCAGACTGAGGCTGCCCCACGCACCTGGAGCAGGGCCATATGAGGAGCACCCTGGCAGCAGAGGGCTCGGGACACAGCCCCAGGTACAAGGCACAGTTTGACTTTAGAGTCACTGCGCAGAGATCACCTAGATAAGGTCTAGAAACTTCTAAGAGGCCACAAAGGCTCCATCCTCATGCAGCGCCAATAACTGGATTCCCACCATGGGCTGAACACCCCCTTAGCATAAGTTGTCATTTTTCTGAGAGGGGTGAGAAGTAAATAAGCTTTGTCTTTTATTTTTATTTTATTTATGTTTTTTGAGACAGGATTTCACTGCGTCGCCCAGGCCGGAGTACCGTGATTTGATGACAGCTCCTGCAGCCTCAACCTCCTGGGCTCAAGTGATCCTCCCGCCTCACCCTCCCAAAGTGCTAGGATTACAGGAATGAGCCACCATGACCAGCCATCTTTTTCATCTTTTAAAATGTTGACACTCCCAAGAGGAATAATGCATTAAGACTCTAACTCTGTGGTGTCAACATGTTTCTCTCCTTGAATGACAAGAGTTGGAATCCAATAAGAGATGAGGACATGTGAGACTGGGGAGGGATGCATGGGGACCTCTGGGCTCTAATTCTATTTCTTGTTTTGGGTGGTGGCTCCACAAACGCTTGCTCTGCAATGATATGCAGAATTGCAAAATTACACATAAATATGTTTATACTTATTTATGTACTCTCTTTTCTGTGTGCCTGTTCTATCTCATAAGAAGAATAAATGGTTCTGCAGTGGGAAGCTGTGACAGGTCTCTCAAGTCTTCCCACCATCAGCGGGGGACCTGGCAGTACAGTGTCACCAGAAAGGATGCCAAGTGCTGGCCGAGGCCTTACCTCGGTAGAGGGTGTCACGGGGGTCAGGCCGAAGCATGTCGGCGGGGGGCTGCTCATCCCTGGGAAGAGTGTCGGAGGAGCCCACGTGGCTGGCTGCTGTCTGTGGGATGTGGCCCACCTCATCCATCCGTAGGAATGTCTCATCTGGGCGCAGGGAGGAAAGAACAGCAGGAGGCTGTATGGCCTGGAGCGCAGCAGTCCACTGCCCACTGCCCTTGATGGACAGGGAAGAGATGCAGATGAGGCTTCTAGCTCCAGGGGCCACTGCACAGGATGTGTGCAGCTGTACTCCCTCTGGCCCCGCCACAGCGGTGGCTTCACGCGTCATCTCCCTTCGGCCCCCTCTGCCAGCCCCATGGCTGACCCAAACACTGTGTTGCATAATTGAAAACAGATACCTGTTTCTCAGAATGTTTTACTGCTGGCTGCTAGAAATTTGTCATTATGTATGCCTAATTTATTGAACACTTATAGAGCACTTAATAATAAGGCAGGCACTGCTCTAAGAATATCCCAAATATTAACCTATCTAATCGCCAAAAGCACCACATGCCTTCTGTACTACTATCATTCCTAGTTTAGAGATGAGGAACTTTGGCAGAGAGAATCTAAGTCATTTGCCCAACATGCAAAGGCAGCCAAGCCATGTTTGAACCCAGCTGATCTGGTTTCAGCACCTAAGTTAAAGCAATCCACAGGGAAGGGAGGTGGGAGGGCTGCCTGCTTCTTTTCTCTCTGTCTCTCGGGTTCACGCATCTACACCTGCCACGAAGGCCTATGGATGGCATGTTTTTCACTGGGGCCTCTGGACAGGAGTCCCATCGAGGAAATGATACGAAATGGAAACAATGCTGAAGAAAGAGGTCACTTCCTGCACACTGAGGGCAGGTGAAAGGTTTCCTCTGCCCTGGCCATGGCTACCTCACCTGTAAAATGGGGGATTAGACTCACTCAAGGTTTTTTATTGTCTTGTTTTGTTTAGCTTTTGAAACAGAGTATTGCTCTGTTGCCCAGGCTGGAATGCAGGGATCCACTGCAGTTTCAGCTTCAAACACCTGGGTTCAAGCGATCCTTCCCAGTAGCTGTGACAACAGGCACAAGCCACCACACCCGGCTAATTTTTAATTTTTTGTAAAGATGAGGTCTTGCTATGTTGTCTGGGCTGGTCTTGATCTCCTGGCTCAAGCAATCCTCCTACCTTGACCTCCCAAAGTTCTGGGACTACAGGTGTGAGCCACTGCATGCACCCTCAGAGGTCTTTAATCTGGTATGAGCCTCACCGTCTCTGGACTCCCTTGAAGTTGTATTCAAAATGTTTTGTGTGGATAGGTAGACAAGGGCATTATTCTGAGGCAAGGGCTCAGAGAGCTTCTAGCAGGTTCTCAAAGGGGTCACCAACCCTGGGGAGTTAAAGACTCCTGGTCATAAAGTCCCACTCTTGTTCTGGACCCCTTCACACCTATGTCCCCAGTGTCTCAAGCTTCAACCTCCCCTCCTTCCTTCCTCCTCTCCTCCCCTGCCAAATCCCCCGGGGTAGGCTGGCTCCACCTGGGCTTCGTCTCCAGGCCAGGGCCAAAGCCTACTCACTTGTGAAGAGAGACAGGGAGAGGGAGTCGATGATGGTGAACTTGGCTCCAGGGTCATTCCGTCGCCACTGGAAAAGGAGAGAGATGGTACATCCAGAAGGTGGAGGGTAGCTGGATTTCCAACAGGTGCCAAGGGACAAAGGGAGAGGAGTGCCAGAAACTGAGCTGGGAGAAACGGGAGCAGCAGAAACTCACCGCGACTTCCACGTGGTCGGTGCCCTCCTCATTCTGCTTGTGCAACACCTCGAAATAGTACCTGTGGGAGGCTGACAGGCTGGCAGGAGAGAGGGCAGGGAAGCAGAGTGCATCTCCATGGGCCCTGGAGTCGTGGCTCTGTCCCACCCCTTCCCAGCACCTTAAACTCCCTCATCCTTCCCCTTGCTCTTAGAACCCCAGGAGTTAACTGCCTAGGTTCGAGTCCCCACTCTGTCACTTGCTAACAGTGTGAGCTGTTTTCTCTTGGTGAGATGGGTATAATCAGAATGCCTATGCCACAGGATGATTGGAAGAACCCAAAGAACAGTAACAGAAGCCCTCAGAGCACACAGGCTGTGGCAGGCGCTGTTCCAAATGCATACAGAAATATATGAATAAGTCACCTCATGTAATCCTTGTTCGTAGAGGAGAACACAGAGGCACAGAAGGCTTGGGGAGTTTGCCAGGGTCAGCAGGTGATGCATGGTGGAGGTGGGGTTCCGCCGGCAGACTTGCCCCAGGGGCCATGTACCAGCTGCTCTGCTGAGCTCCACACGGAGCAAGGGCTCTTTGCAAGCGAGATTATCTCCTTACAATTTTTAAATGTATGTTCATTGATACGTAATGTTTGTGCATATTTACGGGGTGCACATGATCTTTTGTCGCATGCATAGGATGCGTAAGAACCAAGTCAGGGGATTTAGGATCCCATCACCCACCTCCAGCACTTGGCATTCTATGTTTTGGGAATATTCCAAATCCTTTTCTCCAGTTGTTTGGAAATATACAACGCGTTGTTGTCACTATGGCCACCCTATTGTGCTGTTGAACATTAGAACATATTCTTTCCATCTGTGTCTGTACCCCACCTCTCCTCACCCCCAAGTCCCGTCCTTCTCGCATCAGCGACATCCAGCCATGGGCGCTCTTCTCGCCCGCGTGAGAGCGTGCCGACCACCAGGTGGCGCTCCGAGGCCGGGCTACGCTCCCTTCCCCGCGCGGGAAGGGGATTCCTCTCCCCCAGCCCACCAAGGGATGACCGCGAGGAAGTCCCCGCAGCCCAGGCAGAGCCGGTGTCCAGGCTGCTACAGGTGTGGAGAAAAGGGGGAGGGCAAGGACTGGGAGGAAGGGACCTATTTTCCAGTCCCGGGTGTCACTAAATAGCTGTGTGACCTGCAGTAAGTCAGCCTGTCTGGGCCTGTTTCCTCATCTGTGAAATAAGAAAGGGTGTGCCAGAGACCCCAGGGCCGGACACACGGAGCCCCTGCAGGAGGAAGCTGGGCTGGTGACAGAGGTGCTGCCCGGCTCCACCGAGACCTGGCCTCAGCGCTGGGGCCTCACCTGTCTGTCCTGACCCTCCCTACTCACCTCACCGGCTTGGAAATTTGGCTCCGAAATTTCCCAAACTCTCCAGGGGCTGTCCACTCCTTTCCAGTCTAGAGGTGTGGAAAAGAGGAGAGGAGGGGAGGAGGGAGGAACAGAGGAGGCAGGAAGCAAGCCAGGCAGCGAGTGGAGAGACCAGGAAGGAGAAGAAAGGCGAAAAGCCAGAGAAAAAGGGGGGAAGAGAGCAGGAGGGAAGATGAGAGTGGCAGGAGAGAAAAGGAAAGAGTGAAGGAGTGGGTGTCGCCACGCAGGAGGCTGCCCGCCTTGCTAGGAGATCCCCCGCACCCGGCCGAGGCCAGAGGGCCCCAAAGATGCTTCCGCTGGGTCCCCCACAGCTGAATTGCTGCCGTCTTTCGCCATCCTGACTGGCTCCCCACTCCTCCCCCCTCTGCATTCCCCACCCCACTCCTCCCCACTCATCACTCCCCCTCCTCCTCCCTCCTCCCCATTCTCCCTCCTCCTCACTTCCCCCTCCTCCTCATTCCTCCTCCCCACTTTCCCCCCTTCTCACTCCCGGCTTTCCCACAACTCCCCACTCCTCACTCCCACCTCATCTCCACTCCCCTCACCTCCCCACCCCTCACTCCTCCCCATTGCTCTCACCTCCCTACGCCTCCCTCACCCCCATCCTCAGTTTATCCCTTTGTAGCAGGGTAGGGGTGAGGGAGGAGGCTTCTTTTCTACCCCTTCCTCCCGGGTGTCACACCAGAGATGCTAACAGTAATGAGCAGCTGCTGGTGGACTCAGTGAGCAGGCTCCAGGAACAGATGGGAGGGCCCAGGGCTGAGCTGGCCCTACCTTGCCCACACTGGCCAGCAGCTGGAGGCCTGAGACCTGATCATCGAGGCTCAGCCAGAACTCCGCGTTGTCATCTGCAGCAATGGCAAACTGGATTTTCCCTGGGCAGCGGGGAGAGTTTCCAGATGAGGGCAAGCCGGGCATCAGCGTAAAAAGCTGGAGGCTTTTCTGAATGTCTTAGCAATTATATTCACTTCAGGGCTGGATGCTGTGGCTTCCCTCCTGTAAAGTGGGGGTTTCTACATCTTGGGAGACACTGCGAAGATGGAAAAGACTTACAGAGAAAGAGAGCTTGTTCCAGGCTGCAAACCAGAGAGCAAAATGGCAGCCTGTGCAGCTGGATGAGACCTCAGTGTGACTCAGTTTCCCTTCCCTTCCTCCCTGAGGGTGGACTGGCAGGAAGTTAGTGCAGTCTACCCATAACCTTATCTTATGTTCTTTGGGTCCCCTGCAGAACTCTAGAGCAGGAAGAAGAATGGGACTTTGGGGCTGGCCTCACCATCGGTAAAGGGGTGCAGGTAGCCAAAGATGCGAAGGCCATAGTTGGTCCATTTGGGGGACACAGCCAGCTTCCTCAGGGTTGTGCGAATCTATGCCAAGAAAGGGGATGGAAACTGTTACCCAGAAGAGGGAAGAGGAAATTGGTCCACCCAGGACTGGTGGGAAGATCAGGAGGGGACTATGACAGGAGGGTCTGGGGCTGTGGCTTGGTGAGTGGAGCGCAGGCTCAAATTCAGCTCCCATTTGCCTCTTTGTCCAGGAGACCTTGTACAGTGCACAACCAGCACAACTGTACATGGTGGCCGTGGGTACACTATATTGTGAGCTAGAGATCCTGAAACTGAAATGATGCAGAAGGTGAAATTGAAAGAATCGCTAGGAAGGAAACAAGGAAACTATTATGAGCAGACAAAAAGAGAGCTCAAGAGATAAAGGAGAAAATATGGACCAGAAAAGAAGCAAGGAAAGATGAGAGACAGAAGTGGGCAGAGGAGGCAGGTGGGGAGGGAGGCGGGCAAGGCAGCCCTCGGGCACTCACATGGGGGTAGAGTGGGAAATGCAGGTTCCTCCTGAGCTGCTGGACAGAGCTGCCACACCAGTCCTCAAACACGTGCAGGTTGGCACGGCCCCGGAACTGCAGGGTGGAGGCACAAGCTGTGAGCCTGAGCACCCCCCTTCGCCTGCCCCATTTCCTCAGCTCCAGGAGGCTGGGCAGAGAGGGGCCAGTGCTCCTCTCACTGTGCAGGTCTGACCGACTCGATCCCATCCCCAGCCTAGCTCCCAGCACTCTTTCAGGAACCTGGTGCTCATGTTCACCCCACCACCTGGCCTTGAGGACAAGGTCTGCTCTGGCCATGCAGGTGTGCACACACATGCACACACACTCCCCCTGGCCCTCCCACACAGGAAGGGGGCTGGTTTGCATGCCCTAGGCAAGGGGGTCAATGGCCACGACAGAATGGCCCAAACCACAGGGAACTAGGAGGAGCCGGCTGGGGTTTCAGGAAAGACGTGCTCTTCTCCCCTCCCCGTCCCTGATGCCCGAGGAGAGGAAAGCTCCACAGCTGTCTTCCTGTGAAATCTTATCTACCCAGGGGCCTCCCTGCTTCTGGCTTCCCTTGGGAAGCAGCTGGGAGACGCTGCAGGAGGGAGCTGGGGCCATCCCGGCTGCCCAGCATCTCGGCCTCCCACTGCTCTCTGAAGCCTCCAAGCCTCATTCTGAGCAGGCTGCTCCTGGGACAGCCGTGGGGCAGTGCTAGTCAGGTCGGATACGCTCTCTCCTCTGCAGGACTGGGCTTGCAGGCTCCCAGCAGAGGACCTCACAAAGGGCCAAGGCAGGAACCAGCACTGTGCGTGGGTGGTGGGGCTGGAAGTTTTAGAGGAGAAGGAAGCATGGGGGCTTTGTGCCCATCATCCTGACAGTGAGCCTCAGATCACCCCATGTCCTCCCCTCCCCCAGGGCTTCTGTCCAGGTTGGGGGAGGGGTGATGGCTCCATACCAGCAGCCTGCCCTGGCCTCCCCACTGTGCCCACCAGATGGCAAAATCTGGACTGCCCTTAGGAGCTTTGAGGGGACACACACCCAGACTAGATGTCCAGATAAGAAGTGGCACAAGTTCAGCAAGAGACTTGCAGGAGGGAGGATGGGTGGGCGGGGAGAGGAGGGGCAGGGGATAACTCCTCAACAGGAATGCCCAAGGTCCAGGTGTGGCTGGTGCGGTGGGCACAGCCTCAGGGAACACTGGCCCACTGCTGGATCCAGAAAGACACGGGAGAGCCTGGCCCTTCCTGGCCCTTCAGAGCTAACCGGGCACTAACTGGGGCAAACCGGGCACACTGGCCTGGTCAGTGCTAGAAATGTGGGCCTTGGGAAGCAGCCATCACTCTCAGAAACAGGAGTGGGAGACTGCAATGGGTGGGAGAGGGAATGTGGGCTGGGTAGGTGGGTGGTGGGTTAAGGCTTCAAGGAAGGGAAGAATGGGTACATTGTGCTGCTTTAGCAGAAAGTCCTCAAGTCCGGTTTATAAGACTCAGCTGTCTCCTCCAAAGGCCTGCTTCTGCCCCCTCCCTAGGAGACACAGATCCCAGGAGGGAGGGCAGTGGGGGAGGGCATGCCACCAGAGAAGCCTGTTGTGTTCAGCCTGGAGGCCAGAGGGCACGGGGACTGGGCAGGGAGAGGAGGGGCAGAGGGAGGCACTGGCTGGCCGCTCAGCAGATCCTTCGATGCTGCAGGTAGCCCCTACAGGGAGGTTGAGAGGACCTACCTGCGCTGGCCCAGGCCCTTACCCAGCATTAAGCTAGCCCTCAAACCATACTTCACCCACGCTCAGGCTGTCGGTGGGGGTCTCTAAGGGGCCAGTGGGCACCCTCTTCCTCCCCCACCCCAAGGATTTGTGTCCCTCTGAGTTTTAGAAACTTTGTGTCTGGCAGGAACTTGAGACTCCAGCACCCCAGCCCTGCCCTCCGCCCACTCGCTCCATTGTCCAGCAGGAACTAAGGCCCAGGGAGGGGCACTGGTCACTCCAAGCGCCAGAGCATGTCTATGGCCAATGGTGGTTTAGAAACTTCCAAAGTTAGAAGTGCTGGAGAAGATACCTGTTGGAACCCTCTCATTTTAAGGGTGAGGACGTCAAAGCTCAGAGAGGTAAATGACTCCCCAAGGATAGGACATGTAGCAAGTAACCCCTGGGAGCGGGGAGGGCATCGTGCTGGGGACTGGGTCACAGGAATATCCACTGCCCGTCGGGGGCGCTCCCTGGGATGCAGCAGAGCCTCCACCTGGACTTCAGCTTTTCCCCCACACTGATTCCTCCTGCCTCCAGAACTGTTGTTCTAAAGCAGAGATCTGACCAAGTCACTTTGCGGCTTAAAACCTCCAAAGGTTCCCATAAGGCTTCAGAACAGAGCCTCACCCAGCACGTGGAGTCTTTTACAACTGACCTGCCTTTTCCAGCCTCACCTCACACCACTCCCCGTCTCGGGCCTTTGCTGCACCCAGGCCAAACCCCTGTCTTTGCCAAAATCCTCATGCTCTTTCACGTCTCCATGCTTTTGAAAATGCCATTTCCTGACTGGAAGGCCCATTCACTTCCTCCTTACACGGCAAACTCCTGCTCATCCTTCAAAGCTCTTGTCAAATATTAATCTCTAAGGCCTTCTATGATGTCCCCAGGCAGAGGGAACAACTCCCCCCCTGTTCTCCCTGTGCATCTTAACTATTTAAATGAACAAATGCTTGGAGGAGCTAAGCCCAGAACAGTACATTCCTCCATTCTTTAAGTCTATGAGTGAGCGTGAGCAAACCCGCCCGCCCCAGCTCCTCGGCTCCAGGAGGCTGCGCAGGGTCTGGCCCACTGTATCCCATTCCCAGGTATCTTTTCCAGCACTGTACCCCTTAAAGATGAAACAGAGGTCGTCCTCAAAGGAGGCAGACATGTAAACAAAAGGGTGTCACCTGCGCCAGGGGCTATGGCAGAGGTAGGAGGCTCAGAGGGGCTCGAAGCCAGGAGCCGTCAGCTCTACCTCCCTGAGCACTCGGAAGCCCATCATGAGACATGAGCACTGACTGACCCTCTGCCTCCGCTACTCAACCAGATTCAAATTCACAAGACCAAGCATACCTCGCTGGTGGTTCTGTTTTAACTCATGAGGCAGTGGGGCCTCCCTGGAGGAACACAGCTGTGATTAGATCACCGGTTCCTACACACCAGGAACTCCTATGTCCTGTTCAGAGTTTCGAGGTACTCGATCTACCTTTTTTTTTTTTGAGGTCAGGGTCTCGCTCTGCTGCCCAGGCTGGAGTGCAGTGGCACAGTCATGGCTCTCTGCAGCCTCAAACTCCTATTCTCAAGCAATCCTTTCTCCTTAGCTGCCCAAGTAGCTACAGGTACACGTAACTACACCTGGCTAATTTTTTGGTTTAGTAGTAATGGGGTCTCCTTATGTTGTCGAGGCTGGCCTCAAACTTCTGGCCTCAAGCAATCCTCCCACCTCAGCCTCCCAAAGTACTGGGGTTACAGGTGTAAGCCACTGTATCCTGCCTTGAATTGTATACTTTAAATGGATGAAGTGTATGGTATGTGAATTACAGTTCAATAAAACTTTTTAAAAAATCAGTGGCTCATGCCTGTAATTCTAGCACTTTGGGACGCCAAGGCCAGAGGATTGCCTGAGCTCAGGAGTTTGAGACCAGCCTGGGCAGCATGATGAAACCCCATCTCTACTAAAATACAAAAAAAATTAGCTGGGCATGGCGGCATGTGCCCATAAACCCAGCTACTCAGGAGGCTGAGGTAGGAGAATTGCTTGAACCCTGGATGGCGAGGTTGCAGTGAGCCGAGATTGCACCCTTGTACTCCATTCCAGCCTGCGCAACAAAGCGAGACTGTCTCTAAAAACAAACAAACAAACAAAAACAGCAACAAAGGAAAGGCTGAGAACAGGAGTCTGTGTCACAGTTCTGTCCGCAAGAGAGAGACGCTGCCTTCTCAAAGCCTGTGTGAACCACCCACGAGAACTCAGACCCCACTTGCTTTGATCTGACTTTGTACACACCAGATTTCTTTCTCATTCCTATTTTGGGTTTGGGGAGTGGCCTGGCTAGCAGACAAGGCATTTCGGTGAATGGAGCAGTGCATTTACCAACACATGAACACATTGGCACTGGGGTTTGTTAATGAGTGTCTTGAGACCAGGGTATGTGTGAATAAGCTTTGAGACAGTCACTCTGTGAAGCCCAGCCCCCTTTGCCATCCAGTCTGATCCGTCGGCCTCTGGTGCTGCACCAAGTAAAATGTCTGAGGCTGCTGAGCTTCCGAGAGTGACTTCTGGCCTCAGAGACCCTGGGCTGCCCGCCAAGGCCCAGGGCAGGGAAACAGTGAAAGAGGAGGCCATTGTCATCTTTCTCTTCTCCTGCCCTTGCTCACCTCTACGGCAGGGCCCTGCACTAACTCTGTGACCTGAGCTGACCTCGCTGAGCCATTATCTGGAAGGGGGATAACAAAACAACCTGACAGCTCCTGGACACGAGCAGATGCTCAATAAATGACACGTATCATTAACCTGGAAACTTCCTGCTGGCCAGGGACAGGCAAGGGGATGGGAACAGAGGTCCGCATAATGTGGAGAGACTGCAAGGCTGGGCTGGAAGGCAGGTGGCACCATTATGCAGCTGTGTGACTGCTGTGTTTTTTAACCTCTCCAGGGCCTGCCTTATTCCCCTCATTGGTAAAATAAGAGGATTGGATCAGTGAAGCCCTGCAGATCCATGAAGACTGCAATGATGATTTTGTAAGCTATTTTTAATATTTAAAAATGAAGCTGGGTATGGTGCCTCACGCCTATAATCCCAGCACTTTGGGAGGCCAAGGCGGGTAGATCACAAGGTCAGGAGTTCAAGACAAGCCTGGCCAAGATGGACACCTTGTCTCTACTAGAAATACAAAAAGACTTAGCCTGGTGTGGCAGTGGGTGCCTGTAATCCCAGCTACTTGGGAGGCTGAGGCAGAGAACTGCTTGAACCCAGGAGGCAGAAGTTGCAGTGAGCTGAGACCACACCACTGCACTCCAGCCTGGGCGACAGAGTGAGACTCCATCACACACACACAAAAAAGGAAAATCAGTCATTTACCATCAAAAGGCCATACACACTTACTAAAATATCCAATATATCTTTTCTTTTCTTTTTCTTTACCTCCACCTCCCAACTAGCTAGGACCACAGGCATGCATCACCATGGCTGGCTTTTATGATGATGATGATTATTTGTACAGTTAAGGTATCACCATGTTGCCCAGGCTGATCTGGAACTCCTGGGCTAAAGCAGCTTGGCTTCCCAAAGTGCTGGGATTCTAGACTTGAGCCACCAAGTCCAGCCCAATTTTAATCACTATTTGCTATTCGTTCACTGTTTTTGTTTCATTATATGTTTATACATATGTCCTTGTTTGGCAAAAACTAGTAGAGAAATTAATTATTAATAAATGCAGAATGTTATGGTGCTATAAGCTTTCAAAATAATTAGTTTATTGAAAAAAGGGTCCAAGCTATCCTTGGATCAGCAGACCAAATCATCTGTAAGGCAAGTTCTTTTCAAAGTACGATCTCCAGGTAGGGCGGGGCATAATTACCCGGTGATGTCATCTAGTGCAGGTGTGCCAGTGTTGTAATCCATCCTCTCCCAGGGCTTTGAAAGGAGGCCGTTTCACAGCGTGGATAACCTAACATCGAGTTCAGTACAATACTGCCTCCTTCACTCCTGCCCCAGAGCAAGTGGGTGGATTGGAAATAAAACCACCCCGGCTGAAGAGCTCAATCCATGATAGGTTTGGATAAAAAACAATGAGCTAGCCAGCCAAGGAAAGTAACTGGTGTCCACAGGGCCTCCAGACTAAAGACACTGGGTTGTAAAGAAGCTGTCAAATAGGGGACTCAAATTAAAAATTTCATCTCCAAAGCACCATGCTACTCGGAAGTCTTGGCGTAAGGATTTACTCCAGGCCATCTTGTGTATGTTAATTAACTTCCCCGAGCCTCGGTTTCTTCACTAAATGAAAAAGAATCTAGGGCCAAGCACAGGGGCTCACGCCTGTCATCTCGGCAGTTTGGAAGGCCAAGGCAGGAGGATCGCTTGAAGCCAGGAGTTTGAGACCAGCCTGGGCAACATAGTGAGACGCTGTCCCTACAAAAAAAAAGTTTTAAAAAATTATCCAGGTGTGGTGGTTTGCCCCTGCAGTCCTAGCCACTCAGGAGTTCAAGGCGCAGTGAGCTATGATTGTGCCATTGCACTCCAGCCTGGGAAACAGAGCAATACCCCGTTTCTAAAAAAAAAAACTAAAAGAAGAAACATAATCTATCAAAGCCTATATAAATGAAAGGTATTTTGATGGTTTGACAGCTTTTATTCATATTTAACCGCTTCCTGTAAAAGTTTTCTAAAGCAGCGTTTCCCGGTGCATGTTCCTTAGGGCATTTCTATGACACCTAGAGCACTAGTTTCATAGAGCATAACAGGCATTTCATGAAAAAAGAAGCCATTCAGTTTGAGACACACTGAGCTAAACCAAGTTAAACAGATGACTGCGGAACTCATAACCTTTCATATGCTAATGTACATTTCCAGGAAAGCAAGGTAGTATATTACAGTTTTAAAAACTTGTTTAACAATGGACTCTTTTCTTCCTGGATTATCTTACGGAATTTAGTGGCCCAAGAAAGACAGTTCGGGATGCTTATCTTTAAAACAGGATTGGCATGGCCACAAAAGTCTTGTAGCTTTCAGAGCTTGTTTTTCCACCTATGAAATCAGGATAATGACACTATCTCACAGGGTCATAAAGCTGAGATGAGACGATCCACAAAGCCTGCCACACAAGAGGCCTTCATCAAATGTGAGCATTTCTTCTCTAAAGAGAGAAACTGAATAAACCTGGAATGCTTGCAGTGAAAAATTTTCATGAAACCACTAAGCTGGGTGCAGTAATGCCCACCTGTAATCCCAGCTAGTCAGGAGGCTGAAGCTGGAGGACTGCTTGAGCCCAGGAGTTTGAGACTAGCCTGGCCAACATAGTGAGACCCTTCTCTAAAAACACCACCAAGAAACTAACTAAATAAATAATTTTAAAAAATGTTAAATTCACTAGTAGAAAGTTTTCTGTGATCACTGGAATTATCTGTAAAAATTATTTTTTAACTCTCTTAAAGAGCAGGGACAGTAGAAAGTCCCTTACCTCTGAGAGCCAGGGGACAGGCTTGTTCCACTTCAAGTAGCTGCTGTTACTGCTTCCACCTCGGTCAATTTCATGGTCCTAGTAGAATAATGAAGAATGAACTTGGTAGGAATATCAGGAGGAGAAACTGCGGGCAGGACAGGGTTGAGGCCCCTTGGAAGTGCCCATGGGGAAGCAGAGGGCCAGGAGGCACAGCGCCTGCTCCCAGGAGGCATCAGCTCAGAGCACGCTGCCATCTGTTATTCACACGATGTCCCTGGGGAATACATCTCTGTACTTCCATCAGTGCGTGCTCCTGAGGTTCCCTCACTTTTCTGAATTTTCTGTCTTCCCCATATTGGAAAAAAGTTTACCCTCATTAGGTCGGGACCTCTTGAGGGCAAGGGGCTTGGCTCCCTCTTTCTCCTTATCCCCCAGCTCTCTAGATTTGGGTTCCAACAAGTGGGAGCCCCTCAGGGATACCCCAAACCCTCCCTACCGTGCAGGTCCACAGGTTCAGTTTGACTCTGGTCCAACTCTGGGATCCATGTCTGCTCTACGCTCAGCTTTGGGGCTCCTGACTGAATCTGCCTCCTTAGGGACCGTTGCCTCAAGAAACACTACAGGGAAATGCTCCACTACAAGGCTATACTCCCAGCTACGGGCAGGGAGGAGTGTGTGTCCACCTTGTCACCTCTAGTCTCAGCAGCAAGCACAGCTCAGCCCAGCCCTCACCCTAGTGAGAGGCAGCACATGCCATTGGTGGTGGAGGTCACAGGCCCAGAGCAGTTCCAACATGGGCAAACTGAACTAGGGGACAAGGGCAGATACCAGAAAACCCGACCCAGTGGCAGCCCCAGGCTTTGAGGAGGCTGGATGACACCTCTGCAGCTCAGCTAGGAAGTCCCGAGGCCAGACTAGGATTCGAGGGGCTGTTTCTCTTCTGCTTGTCCTCCCATGGAGTAGTGGAGGTTATCCTTAACTGGGCAGAGCACCTGGGGACCCATGTTAAGGCACCAACAGGACAATGGGCTGGCCGGTCACCTACCTCGAGGCTCAGCCTCTGGGGGTGGTAGAACTGGAGGTGTGGGTCCACAGCTGGAATGTTCCTGCTGGCCAGAGCTTTGGCCAGTTCTCTCCAGCTGCCATACCCTGCAGAAGGGGGAAGAGAGGAGGCTTCAGGCCAGCGTAATCTGGAAACCTCATACATCTAAAAGATGTGGGAGGTTAATGGAGGGAACCGTCTTCCCTTCTGCTCCTCACCCCTCTTCAGAGGGTGAGTGGGAAGCAGGCAAAGCCAGGGGCAGGAGATAGCTGCAAATTGGCCAAGGTCCTCAGGGCAGAGAGAGATAAGCTTACATCCCATCAGCAGTTGCCACCTTCCAGAAACCAGAGAAGGAGCCAGGCCATCTGAGCATGGACGATGGGCCTCCTACTAAGGGCTCGTTCTCCCCCGGTTGCCTCTGGAGGCCAATGTCTCCCAAAAGCTGCTGTGGAGAGATGGTCATGGCAGGTGGTACACTCTTCCCTTCCTGCTCATTCCTGTGCCCTAAGCCCGGGAACAGCAGGTGGCTACTTATGGCGGGGAGACCCCCTACCACTGATCACTGGGTTGCTGGATGGAGCCAGAGCTAAGGGAGGCAGGAAAGGGTGGGCCCGGATGTGGTGTCTGTCAAACAAATTTATAAACCACTGGAGATACAAGATTAGAGGCCTCGCTTATTTTTGGAGTCATCGGGAGGCTACATGGGGCTGATGCTGTCTGCACCCTGAAAGCTCTGGAACAGGATGGCTTGCACACATCTGGGAAGGCAAAAAACCAAACCGCGGTGATAGGGAGGGAGGGAACAGGAAACTGGGGGGTACACGCGCAGTCATAAGTCAGGAGGTGAGGGGCTGCACCAGGGTGAGGGCAGGGGAGAATCAGAGTCCCTCGGTCAGCCACTGCTGTCACTTCTAAGGACCGGGATCCCATCTGAAGGGAGATTGCTGGGCTTTGAACAAGTGGAACCAAACCACTGTTAGTCACAAACCAGAAGCACGGACCACTGAAAGCCAGAAGAGGCTTTCAAGATCCCCTCATCCTCACTTCAGAGGAGGAAAATGGGACCCAGACTGGTCAAATGGCTAATCGAGGCCCACTTAGCAAGTACAGACAAGGCTAAGACGAGGACCCCAGTGTGCAGATGGACCTCCACAGAGCCTCCCCTCTCCCTTCAACAGCCTCAGTTCACCATGATGCCCCCAGGACACCGTGGTAGGCACTGCTTGGAAGGAATTAGCCTGACAGCCCCCAACCCCTGGGAGCCAAGAGTTGACAGCAGGCAGAAGTGTCACAGAAACCCCTATGTGAGCACGAGCAGAGACACAGACAGCCACGCGGACACAGAACACAGAGCACCACCCACAAATATGGGCATCACCGAAGGTGGCCCCCCACGCTGTGCACGAGTGTTTATGTAACAGGCTCGGGGACGGGCGGGCACAGGGACTGCACACTGGCACGCAGGTGTGGGGTGAGAGCGCTTTCTTACATAGTTATGCTTTGTGTGGGCCCTGTCGTGCTTGCTGAGTGTCTTACAGGCGTGATTTCAACTGAACCTTATTAAGAATCTCCCGAGAGGCCGGCTCCATTACCCCATTTTACAGATGAGGAAAGAGCGCTCCGAGTTTAAAGTCACAGAGCTCGTTGTTCAATAGCCAGGATTAGAACAGAGAGCTCCTCTGTCTCACGGGCCCACATTTTCTCATTCTGCCTACATTTTCTCCTGTGGGCACTTTTTGGCATAGACTTTGAGGCGTGCCGCCACAGAGGCCTCAGCAGGCGATCTGTCTCTGGGTTCTGCAGATGTTAAACCTCCACTCGTGTTATGGTTACAGGGATTTCTGCAGCTTTAGCCCTCTGCCATCAAGGTCTCTCCTGTTTCCAGGCTGGCCCAACTGGCAGGAACAGGCCCAACGAGTTCAAGGCAGGGGTGTGTTCTGGGGAAGCAGGATTCTGGGGCCACTGAGGTGATGTGAAAACATGAGGAGTGAGGGAGAAAGAGAAAGAACGCCTCCGGAATATCTCCTCCATTTCTGGATGAGCGCAGGGAAACTGCTTGTTCATCGGCTGATACCAACCACACACATTATCTAAAGCAAGAGCCGAAGGTGGCCCCCCACGCTTCCCAGCCCCGAGGAGCTGCTGACTAGTAGTTGTGGGTTCAGGTGTGCCTGGGTGTCACATGAGTTACACTATTAGGAGGGTGAGGATGGGCCCTGCCTTGCTCTTGCATCTGAATGACTGGGTCATCTTCGCTCTTATGACTGAAAACCTCTTACTCAAGAGAAGCTTGTGGGAAATAGCCATGAAATGCTGCCTGCCCCATCAGTGGGAGCTACAGCACATCTCAGGCGCACACTCCTTCTCCAAGACAGTCTTCAGCTCAGCCAAAGTGTGGTGTGACTGTTGGAAGTCACACCCAGGGGAGATGACTTACCCTCACAATGAACTAGCATTGTGGGTCTTCAGCTGCCCTTGTCCTGGCATCTGCTGGGAAGTGACAAAGACACTCTCCTTGACCAAGCCTTAGACAGCTCCTCTGAGCACTCTTTTTTATGAGGCCTCATCCTTGGGCCCCATCCTGGCCCTGCCTAGTCCAGTTTTCTGCAAGAATTCTGCTAGGTCCATTTAGCAGAACCCCCCAGCCCCTGACATCTGACCAAGCTCCTCACCTCCTACCCTTGCCTTTAGCAAGAGTCCCATTAGGCCAGTTCAGCAAGAATCCGTCTGTCCTTGATGTCTCTCCTCAGCTGTTTTCCACCCACTGGCCCCCCTCAACTCTGTGGGTTGGCTATCTAACCAGTCATCGCTGCTGTATACAAAGTTGAGCTCAGCTCTGTCCTGAAGCCTCTCTCCTGTGTAAAACAATACTAAATAAAATCCATCTGCATGACTCGTAACTAGTGTGCAGTCCGACTTCTCTTTAACAGAAGGCAAGAGGCAGCTCTCTCAGTGACCAAGGACAAATCCATTTAGGGAGGTGAGTTGATTCCACGTAGGAAATTCAGTGACGTTAAACCCAGTCAGGTCTTGCCCCTGGGTAACAGGTGAGTCTAGGTGGATGTGGTCTTGCCTCCTGGGTAACAGGTGAGTCTAGGTGGCTATGAGATACCTGAAACTTGGGATAAGTCAACAGCCCAACCTTCACTAATTTAAGGAGTAGGAAAATTCCTCTGCAGGCCTTACGATGTAGCAGAAAGACAAGCAAGCCTTCTGAGTCAGAAAGACCTAATCGTGGCCTGCTGAAGTGGCTCATGCCTGTAATCCAAGCACTTTGGGAGGCCAAGTTAGCAGAATTGCTTGAGCCCAGGAGTTTGAGACTAGCAATATATGGGCAACATAACAAGACCCTGTCTTTTTTCCTTCTTCTTCTTCTTCTTCTTTTTATATTCTTTTCTCTCTCACAATTCTAACCCTGTCTTATTTTTTACTAAAAATTTAAAATAATTTAAAAATTGTATATCTACTACTTACAAACTGTGACTGCTTGAACAAATAATTTAACCTCTGTAGCCCTGGCTTCTTCATCTAAATGGTGAACAAAAATGCCTGCCTCACAGGAACCACTATGAAGATGAAATTATGTGTGCCAGATTTAGTGTGGGGTCTGACACACAACAGGTACTCAATAAATGCTTTTTTTTTTTCCCTAAAAATTTCCAAGTTTGAAGTTTTGGATTTGGGAGTCAAAATATGAGTTCCAACTCCTTTAAAACTATTCAGTAGCTCTCTCTTTTCTCTCTATGCTTCTTTTTTTCTTTTTGTAAGAGACAGGATCACCCAGGCTGGAATACAGTAGTATAATCATAGCTTACTGCAGCCTCGACCTCGTAAGCTCAAGCAATCCTCCCACCTTAGCCTCCAGAGTAGCTAGGACTACAGATGCATGCCACCATACTTGGTTAATTTAAAAAAAATTTAGAGATGGTGTCTTGCTATGTTGTCTAGGTTGGTCTTGAACTTCTGGGATCAAGTGATCTTCCCACCTCAGCCTCCCAAAGTGCTGGGATTACAGGTGTGAGTCACCATGCTCAGCCTTCTCCATGCTTACTGACCAGAGAAGTAAGCAGTGGGCCAGCAGCGGCAGCATGGCAGTAGACAACACCCCCTTTGTTTCACAGTGCTGCTCTTTGCCCCCCACCTTCCCTCATCCCCCATAAATATTCACTAAGTGCATCTCAGGTGTCAGGCGCTGTGCCGTGCACTGGCATATTTCCTCTTCCTGCATCTTTGCCTCTGTGTTAATCCTGCCAATGGATACCCAAGCATTGCTTAGCCCCCCCTGGGGGAAGGTGGAGCTGAAAAATGTGCTGATTTAACTATTGACATTTGTCACTTGCCCTCTGGTAAGCGAACTCCTTCTGCTCCTGGCCAGACCTCTTCTCCCAGAGTGCCAGCTGCCAAGGCCCGGTTCTGCTACAACAGGTGTCACATTTGTGCCAGGAGACAGACACCCCGATCTCAGGTGACAGATAAAGCACCACCGTGGGCCTCATATTCTGCCCTCACAAACCTGGGCTATCAAATTCACCATCAGCTGGAGCTTTGCCAACATCCCTCCTCTGTGCAATGTAGACTCTCAAAGGCCTAAATATTACCATCTTTCTTGTTGGTAAAATATGGCATGCTTATGTCCCTTTGAGCTTTTTTCTAAGACTGTCACATACCTTATTTCATTAGCTCTTCTCAACATCCCTTTTAGGTGTTGTCATCTCCATTTTAGAGATGAAGAAACAGAAACAGAAAAGTCGAGTCATCAGCTCAAGGTCACATAGTGAATAGGATAATTCACTTCAAGGGTTTAGTGCCTGGAACATCATAAGCCCTTAACACATGGCAGCTTATTATTTGCATTATTAGTCACGATGCTGCAGATCTGGAACTCACAATTATTTCTCCTGATGCCTGATCTGATTCATACCCAAGAGGAAGGAAGTCCCTCGCTGCCCAGGCTGACGTTGGTGTTACAGATTCTGTGCGGGGACTGCAGGCCTGAGACTCCCAACTCCACTCCAGGGCTAAAACCCTTCAAAGCACTTGCAACTTAGCACTTTCAACAGTCAGACTAATTTCTCATGTAGGTTCAAACCCTAACTCTGTTAATAAA